TGCTGGAGAGGACTCATTACTTCCTACACTTTTCCAAATCGCGTTCGCACTTTTCAACCGCCAAAATTTCTTACAAACGTCGGCTCAAAATGGAAACAGAGTCTTTGAACGAATTGCGGATATTGTGTTGGACTGTTCGTTTGAGGAAGCCAAAATCAAACGTGTTATTGTTGAGAATCACGGCAATGATATTCTCATGAGATTGTTGCTTTTGTCAGAAAATATTATTGCGACTTCGCTGTTAGCGGTCGGCAATTTGTGTAACCAATCTCCGTATTGCGTGAATGACTTTATTGAAAAAGGTATATTAGATTTTATTGACAAATACTTTACGGTATTTCGTCCGAACAGCGAGGTGATCACAGACTCTTGTTTTGTATTTTGTTCATTTGCTGAAAATATCACCACAACCTCCCCTGTTTTTATCAAGTCGTTTAATTTGATAGGAAAGTTTTGTCAGGTGCCAAACGGTCAAGTTATAAGCGATATCATTCGCGCAATGAACGCGTTGTTGAAACGGAACATTTACACGGATGTAGTTATTGAAATGGGGTTTGAAGATTTTTGCGTACAAGCCCTTCAGCGATCGTTTGTGTTCGAAATTAACGAAGCCGCGTTGAAAACGCTTTTGACATACGTTTTGAAATGCACTTCTCTTCCAAAATACCAAACGATAATCAATACTGTAGCACCATTCTTGGCACACAAAAATATGATACTCCGGAGACTCACAGTGCTTATTCTGTCGGATGTTGTATACTCGAGTAACGAAAACATAATCAGTTTTATGTTGAGCGGTAATATCATGCCAAAAATGTGCCAAATGGCGTTAAAAGATGATTCCGTTTCTGTGAGAAATGAAGCGTTTTTCTTTATTTCGAATTGTTTACTTGGCGCAACAAATTTCGAGCCGTTGATATCACAATGTGTTGTTGAAGCCATTTCAAGAGGGCTTGTATCGGACAATATGGAGATTGCAGGTTCAATGCTTAAAGGAGCAATCCGTCTAGTTTCGAAATGTGGGGCAAATAATGTGGAGAGACTCGCAAATGCATTTGAGATGTGTGGACTTTTTGACAACATCGGCTTGTTGATCAACAGTCGGGACGATGAGTTATCCAACAACGCCGAGCGACTTGTTTCCATGCTCCGTGTAGTTCTTCCCGAAACCGATTTAGATTGAATGTTTCTTGTTTTTACCATAGAAATTGCAATAATACATCAACTCAAACAAAAAACAAACAAAAAGTTAGATGAAAGGTAACAATACGACTATTTGTCTTTCTTTCTGATGATAAAATCAACTAACGACCCCTTTCTCGTTCTTTTCTTAATCCTCTCTGGTTGGAGGACGGTGTTGTTATACAACGGGAGTGGTGTTGTTCTTTCTTTGTGTTGGAACTCGAATGCACTACACGTCAAATTTGGCGGAGTATTCATTTTCAAAGACGAGGGCACTTTTCCCCCAGTGAGTATGTCGACTTCCTTCAACAGTTTTTCGTTGTTTTTCTTTTTTTCAAGTAATTTGGTCTTCATTTGGGCGAGTTCATTCTGAAGTGCGTTCAACTCATTACGTTTCTGTGAACTATCGCTGATGCACTTTTCCATTTGCCGTGTGTAGTACAAACAATACAAACTGATACTCCCCAGCACTGCTCTGTATAAGCAATAATCGTCAAAAATATAAGGGTCTGCTTTAATGATATCCAACAATTTTTCTGATATTCTTGTTGGCAAATAATCAATCACAATTTGGATGTTCATTTTAATCATTTTCGACATTTGTTTGTGAAGCGCACTTTGGGACGCAGGAGGTTCTTGGACTTCCTCAAACTCAACTGGTGTGGCCAATCGGTCGAACACATCGTCAAAGGACTGTCCAAGTTGTTTCGATAATGCCACTACATATGAAAACTCCATGTGTCCGTCATGTTTATATAAATCGAACACGGTGTCTCTGATGAATGTTAATTTGTGTATCCTTGACAACAACGACCATTGTGGTTGTTTGTATCCGATGAGTGTTGGGTCATCTAATATTGGGCATATTATAAATTGGTAGAGTAACACCTTAATAAGCAATTTGTTTGTAGCTGAGTTGTTATTCATCCTTTCCTTCATGCGTTCCATCAGGACAAAAAAGTGTAATGGGATTCTATCCGCATATCCCATTAAATTTGTGTTCAAATGATCAATAACATCTTTCAGCGCTATCAACGACTTTTCATAAAACTCGACTTTTATTTCATCTTCATTTTCAAGTGAATTGTTCTGAAAAGCAGCTACCTCTATGTGACTCGTATCACTCAACACTTCATTCAAAAACGGTGTCATGACAGCTTGGAAATAGTCTTTCAAGTAAATCTTGAAGTACTCTGAAAAGAAGTTGATGAATGTGGATGTTCCAGATTGGAAGGGAAAATACTTGGACTCGGGTGCTGTATGTTACATGAATTCTATTGCACTGAATAATTCACATATAAAATAACAACAAACGATTTTCAGTCAACTCGCGCTCAAAAGCCCACATTAAAAGGTCAACGCCGCGAGAGTGACTAAAGAAATATCGAAGGAGTAAGTTAGCGTTTTGTTTTGATTTGCTAGTGTTTCTATTTACGAGCTACAATGTGAATAAAAATGAATGTGTAAAAAAGTCGGCAAACAGTCTCTGTCAAAGCAGTCAGTAATGTGTTTGATGAATGAAAGAGAAGTTCGTCAAACTCTATTTTTTCAGTGAACGTAAACAACTCCTCTGTCATAAGTTTGTATTTTTAAAGTTTTTCTTTTTATTGTTTTATTTTAGGAATTGAATAATACAGACTGATATTCATAAGCCAGTTGAATATGATGAGAAACTTTTTAAAGACAATGTATCAGTTCTAATAGTTGGCTTATTTAAAGCATTTGGTCTTATTATTTAAGTATTGGCTCTATAGAAATCGTCCAGTTATTCAATTATATAATTATTAGTTTTCCAAATAGAAAAAAAATAAAGAATTCAATTAACACATTACAATAAAAAACACTAAGATATTTATATGACAGGAAATAACAAAAGTTAAAACAATAAGAAGAAAAGGGAAAAACTCAAAAATTCAGAACGAATTAAATGGCGATGGGAGGAGGAAGTACCGATTTATCGCTGTGTTCTTCAAAAAGAGATCCAATTTTGTTTTCTTCAGTTGGTGAAGACGATGTCAAAAGTTGGGGAGAGTATTCGTGTGATATGGAAGAATGATCATTTCGAGATGAAGACGATGACGATGAAATCTTCCGCTTATTTGGAGTACTTGTTTCGACCAACTGGCTTTAAAGAGTTTGTTGGCCCTGAAGACAAAGACAAATTGGTCTATGTCAATGCAAAGAGACTCTTATCTGCATGTTCCATGGTTGAGACTGCAGAGTCTGTCGAAATTCAATTGCACCCAACGAATATAATTTTTGATATTAAAGTGAACTCGAACGTCCAAATGGCTCGAATGGTCCAACTAGATGAGGAAGAAGAACCCTTAGATAGAGAACCGACCTTCGAACAACACGCTTTAGTGAAGGGTAACAACGAAGTGTTCTGCGCTGCGTTCACATCATTTCCAAAAGACACAGAATTCATTAAAATACTTGTCAACAACAACCAAGTCGAATTTCACTCACATAACAAGACAAAGAAGAATGAGAAAAAGATCAACGCACATGTCATTGTTCCCGTTGAACGATTTGATGTGATTAAAATACCTCGTCCAAACGACTTCGGGTCCGTCGCGCAAGTCTCGTTGCATTTTTCCGACTACAAACACATCATGAACTTAGCAAAAGGACTCTCCACAAGTCCAAATTTGAGAATTAAAACTCCTTCAGAGGAGGCATACATCGACTTCACGTATTTCACATTCATTGCTGTAAGATTTACCATGGCGGGATTGATAGAAGATGAAGAGACAAGTCAAACAGCAACATCTAAGTCATCAGAAGCATCGAAGCTTAGAAAATACACTGACGACGATGTTGTGTCTAGCGTCTCGGTGAGTGTTGTTAAGTCTGCTGTGCATTCTTAATTCATGTGATTTTTATGGTTTATATTTTAGTTTAATTTATTATATATCAAAATCATAATATATTAAAAAAATTATCATTTTTTATAGTTTATTTTTAGATCTGATTTAAACCATATTTTGTTATAACATACTAGAAAAAATGGTAACTAGTATTTTGAGGAATTTGTGGGATTATCAAATTAAAAAAAAGGGAAGGTAAAGTATAATAAAATTATAGTATAATTAATTATTAAATATAGTAAAAAGTGGGAAAGCCAAGAAAACAGAAGAAAAACTTCATAAAGAAAGAACTGTAAAAAGAGAAATGGAAGTTGAAATCCAGAAAGGGATAGACCAATTAGACTCACAAGTAATCAACACAATCAACAGCGCGATTCGGTTGATAGAAAAGAGTGTCACCGAGAAGGGTGAACACCTCACGAACAAACTGAACCGACAGACGGCGTGGCTACGAAAACACTTGATCCGCCCTAACATCCTCTTAACTGCCGTACAAGAACATGTCACTAAGAAATCGGCATTGTTTGAACCATTAAAAAGTTTTACAGTGTCACACTTCCCATCATCTGGAAATGATATGAATATATTACAACCTTTACCAGTTTTCGAGTTTGATGATATCTTGGCTGTTGGATTGCTGGAGAAGGAAAGTTTCATATTACTTTTAGTTGTCATTGCATGCTTGGACTCGGGGAAATTGGCGGAAGGCTTCTTCTGGGCGAAGAAGGCGATTAGCAGAGCAAGCAAATTGCATATATCGACTGACGTCCTCATTGCGAAGTTGTTCTTCTTCTTTGAAAGAAGCGCGGAGTTGTGTAACGTCGACGTCACGAATGAACTTATTGTTGCACACACAACCGCGACATTAAGACAAGCTAACGAAACAAAAGCGACACTTACAAACTTGATTGTTCGATCATACTTGAGTACTTCACAATATTCATTGTGCGAGAAATTCATAACGAAGAGTGTTATCAACCAATGTGTGTCGAATCAACAACAAGCAAGGTACTACTACTACCTTGGACGTATTCAGTGCATCAATTTGAAGTATTCTGATGCGTACGAATCGTTGACCACAGCAATCCGTAAAGCGCCACAACTTCCAAAGGCATATGGATTCCATGTTTGTGTCACCAAGTGGTTGTCTCTTGTGCAATTGTTAATGGGTGAGATCCCAAGAAGGAAACAGTTCCTTCAGAGCGGAATGTTGAATGCGTTGCTTCCGTATTATCGATTAACACAAGCCGTACAAGTTGGAGATTTGGAAGAGTTCAGAAAGGTTGTTGAAGCATTCACTGATTGGTTTGTCGAGGACAAAACTAATGGCCTTGTTACAAGAATCAGACAGAACGTCATCAAAACGGCAGTGAGAAAGATCTATGTTTCTTACAGCCGAATTGGGTTGAAGGAAATTCAGAAGAAACTCCAATTAGAGACAGTGGAAGACACTGAGTGTATTGTCGCGAAATGCATTCAAGATGGCGTTATTGATGGTGTTATCGATCACGACAACCAGACACTTATTGGGAAAAACACACTGGACATTTACACAACTAATGAACCACAAATTGTGATGGAAAATAGAATCAGAGGATGTATGCAACTCCAAAGAGATATCGAGAAGTCAATGATCTTCGAGGACAACACAAAGAAAGTGCTTGAGTCTGGTGCGTATTTCGATGTTGATTTACAAGACCATGGCATTTATGGGGATATGAGGTAACTAGTGCTCAATTTTTATAGTTGATTTTAAATAGTTAATTTCTATATATTTTATTAAAAATGTAATTTACAAAACATTTAAGAAAAGAAATTCAAATTATTAGTTTCTTGTTTTTTGCAAATTAATTTTTTTCGTTTTAGTTCAATTTGTGTGGTTATTATTTCGTAAAACTATAAATTATTTGCCTAAAAAACGGGATAATCTTAACTATAATTAAAGATGGTATGAAAATATTTGAGATTTGTTATAAACTTGGAAATTGAAGTAAAGTTAAAAACATAAAAAGAATTTTTTAATATGTCTTAAAGTATAGATATATCATAGTTTTTTATTATAAACTATTTATTTTAATGTAAAAATAGAATCACAACACACCAACTAGTTCTCTGTTCATTAATGAAATTAATAGATTATTATATTAAATAAATAGTTCATTTACCATAAAGATAACATATTTAGATCTTAGTAAAAACAACTAAAGAAAA